TGCTCCTCGCACCATAGTATCCACCAATTCTCGCTGTCCCCAGGATATCTGGTGATCTTATGCTTTGACTGCCCGTTCTTGAAGATATCATGTATATCAATAGTGCGCTCGACTTCGGCAGCCGGGCTGCGATAGCTGGGTCTCCGGCGTTTCTGAGTCGCGGACAATCTGGGAAATATTTGGCGTTTCAAAGGTTCTCCGCTCTCTACTTGTGAGGCAGCCTCGTTGGCGGCTGTTCTTGTTGGGCTCTCGTGGCCACGGCAGTGTCTGTTGACCATCTTGGCGACGTGGCTCCCACACCCTCCCATCACGTTTCGTGGGGCAGTCGAAGGTTCATATTCGTTCTTTGCAAACGCATTGGTTTCTTTCATCATGGTGCCCTCCAAAAGTCGCCGCTCCTCCTGTATGTCCTTTAGGAATGCAGGCTCTTCGTTCTCCAGCGCGTGCAAGCTCTTCATCCTGTCCTCCTGCTCTCTCAACAGGCGTTCAACGCCGGGTTTGGCGTGCTGAAAGAATTGGCGAATTTGCGCGACACTTGACAAGTCTCCGTAAGACGCCCGTGCCTCAAGAATCTGCAACTCGATTGCATGGATTTCATTCCGGAGCTCATTGGCGGTACGAGCAAAAAAGTCGATATCTCCCAGAACCAAGCGATGCCAGCGGCAACGTTCCTCACTCGCCGAGATACATGCCAGGAGTCGCTCCTGCAATTCGCGCTCAGCATGAAGATCCTTCTCTGCTATCAAGACCTCAGCATCGAATGTACCGGTAGCCGACATCGCAAGGTGAGCGAGCTCAGTGATGTGCGCCAAGACGATGTAGGTGATAGCGAGTAGGCTGCGATGAGAGGGTAGACCCGATGAATCTCATGGGATGGTCAGACATCACCTCAGGTCAAAGCCTGGCTATGCTGGCTCGTACTTGCTTCAGGGGATGCCCACTCCTTCTAAGACAGAAGAATAAGTGCCCTACTATGGTGCACTTCTTTCCATAACACTATTCGCATGGGCTATACAGTACCACACAAAACGAATTGATTGGGGAAGGCCGTCAATGGTGGCTTGTGCACGCCCCCTCCACGGCAAGCGTTCTCCATCGCCCAGTGCCCACGCAACAGGGGTGTTGGCGAGCCAAGTCCGTCAACGACCCGCTATCGACGGCCATTTCTTGCCGTCCTCGATCACCTGTTCGCTTAGCACAATCTCCACTAATCCGTGCAGCACTATGGCGTGGATCCATACCAATGGTCCCGCACCTCCTCGAGCGAACACAGACGACGCTGATCAACACCCTCATCCGCATACATCGAGCAGCCACTTGTGGATGAGGAATGCGCACCCCTGTTCCACACCCATGAGTTGACTACGGAGTAGCAGTATCCATAACTGGAGAGTAATGTGGAAGAGCTATTAGGTGTGGTTGCCAGCAGATCTTTGGTACCAATTCAGGACATCCCAGGGCCCTGCGTGGTGTGGGCCCAAGACTGCAGAGGCATCTCCGTAGTAGGCTGCGCACCTTCGCCACTTGTGGACTCTCGATGCACGAAAGAGAGTTGCCATTAGTGACGGTATCGCCGGCAGGAGGTGGATAGTGGGCAGCTGGGAGAGACCACGGCAGCTACAGGAGCAGCCTTTGGACTGGTATATACCGGCCTCCCTACCACGTCAAGGCTCGGCCGCTGCCAAGTTCAAGCCGGGTTGCCATGGTCACGATAGAGCAGCAGAAAGCCAAGGCGCGCAAAAGCGGTCCAAGTCTGCTGCGCAAGACCGCATATCTAGGAGAGAAGGCCAATACCTTCTCGACAACGGTGTACTGGGAGCCCACGCACAAGGAGTACCGCGTCGCAGCACATGTTCCTATCGATTGGGAGATTCCCAATCTCAATCGCCTAGTGGGTGCCCTATCGACTGTGACGTGTGCACGTTGACTAACGATAGCTGTAGATTGAAGATGCCCTATCCAGTCGATCATCGCCACAGCCCCGTCGGCCACCAGCTCGGCCGGGGAGACGGCCGTCGCCTGCTCCCCCGCCGCCGACGGCGCGGCCCCGTCGACAGCCATACCGCGTGCAGAAAAATACCCGCGACACCGTGGCCCAGCCTCGACGGAGCGCCCGTCATCAGCCTCGGGGCGCTAGACCACCATCCAGAACCGAGCGGGTGTCACCCTCGGCCGCCGACACGCCTGCACCAGGAAGCTATGAACAGGTTCCCGTCCCGAGTTCTCCTCAAGGCGCCCTTCGGGATGACATGGTCGAATCGGAGCAGGTCGGAACAGACAGATCGCATCCCCCAATGGATAGCCTGGCAGCCGAGACTGGTGGTCTCGTCTCGCCCGGCATGGCAGGGTGGCTTGCGGACGCGAACGGTAGCGAAGAGGCGGCAGGATTAATCAGACCAGTATGTGCGTCGACGCCGCAGCGGGACAACACATTAGATGCGATGAACGACATCAGTACGGCCCGACCAGGGGCGGAAGGTGACCATTTGTGTGTCCCTAGCGGTGCGATGGACGGTGACGCCAATACCCTCAGCCCCCTTTTCGACAGCTCCTCGTGGATGGATCTTTATCTCCATGACACCGCGCCCGACGATACCTTCTGCCTCGACCAAAGCGCATGTAGACCGCAACCCACAAAAGAGGCACAATACTCCAGATGTGGCGCACCAGAACCCCGAGGCGGTCAGGTCTTCCCAACCACCGCATGCCGAACGCTTGTGCAAGAATGCCTTCGCTTTGTCCGGAGCGTCTTGACAAGCGATCCGGGATGGTGTCAGTCTACATATGGAAAGACCTGAGTGCCTTCTCATCTTATCTTGATATATGTACGCAATATAGTCTTTTTTGAACCGTCAACCTACTAGAAACTATCCAGCTTCAGGAAACGCATGCGTAGATGAGGAGATATCATGAGACTCTATCGGCGAAGAGCGACAGGTCTTATTCTAGCCCACGGCGGCGAGCCCTGGCATGCCCAAAATGTCTCCCAATTACCGTATT